CCCCAAAACCCCAAAACCCCAAAACCCCATAATGGCTAAATCAATTTTAATTAGTGGTAGTGAATGATGCAATAAGTAAATTAATAATATCCTTTAAATAAAATATACTTTTTGTTAAATTACAGATACTAAAATGATTGACTAAAGTCATGATTCAGAAGCTAGTACAAAAACTAATCCAGGTGCTAATTAATCTTTGGATGAATTAAATACAGAAAATCTTCAGCTATTAGATGTTAATTACAAGGCACATTCAATTAAGAATCTAAGTAGCTTTTAGAATAATGCTTTCCTTAATACTTTTCCATTGTCACCTCAAGTTCAGCCAAGATTGCAGAAAGTAGAAAGTCTTAAGGTTGAAATGCCAAAAAATGGTAGAAGTAGGCAAGGTTCCTCAAATACTAAGAGTCAGAGTTAGAACAAATATCAGAATATGTTAAGCAAAAAGCTTGAGTCCATAAAAGATGATAATGAGTACTTCCATCCGACCAATGGAAGTAGAACTCACAGTATTCAAGATGCTAGTATGATAAGTGATGATCAAATCATGTTTCAGCTGAGGATAATATCTATTATAAATGACAGAGATTGGAGTGAGTTATTCAAAATGCTTGACTCTAATAAACTTGAGATAGATATTACTCAAATCAGAGATGAATCAGGACTAAATTTACTCTAAATAGCTGCAAAGAAAAATTCAGACAAAATTTTGATAATGCTAGGCAATTATGTTCTCACCAAATTGAAAGTTAAGCTAAGTGCAATTGAAACTACCCCAAATGATTCACAAGTAAGTGACTTTGCAGATCAAAGAAAATAAATATTGAAAGATTGGATTAATTAGAAAGGGAATTAAACGGAGGGTTTCACTGCTCTACACTATGCTTCTTTTTATGGCAATATTAAGACTGTAAAATATCTGATAAATAATGGTGCAGACTTTAAAACAGTAAATCATCATAGAATTAATATGCTCCATGTTGCTGCTTAAGGAGATAGTGCAGTGGTTTTGAATTATTTCAAAAACCTTGGTATCGACATCAACTAAGCTGAAAAGAATGGCTCTACTCCACTACATTGGGCAGCTTTCTCTGGTTCAGATACCGCCTTGAATTTTATCTTGGCTTGGAATCCAGATATTGATGCGCAAGATATATAGGGCTACACTCCATTATAAATTGCTGTTAAAACAAGTGAGCAATATAACAGCACCAGATAAGTTAAAATGCTGCTAATTAAAGGAGCTTCTAGAGATATCAAAGTAAGCAGTTATTCTCAAGTAATATTACTTTTTTAGAATAATAACGGATAGACAGCTCTTGATATGGTAGAATTCATAAAGAATTCAAGGCTTTAGATTGAATTAAGATGCATTCTTGTAGGATAGATTTACTTTTAATCATAATATATAGAAAGAACCATCTAGATTCTAAGAGTTTATTATGATAAAGATACCACTTAAAAGGGTTACGAAATCTCTAAGAGCTATAAAAATATTCTTGGTTTTAATGCTCACTGCTTTTGGCATTTAGCATTTTTTCATCTTAAGTGGTAATTAAAACTATCAATATAATAAAAAATTATAGCTTTGAGGAGTAATTTGCTAACCTTGATTACTGTGATTATATTTGCTCTTGACCTGCTGTTTTTCTTTACTTCTTGGATCAAAGACCCAGGATACTCTAAAAAACATATTAATATAGAGAATTAAAGAAGTATCCAGGATTTCTAAGATTTATTAGAAAGATTTGAACCAGGATCTCTGTGTCCCTAATGTGAAATTGTGAGAGGACCAAGAAGTAGACATTGTAACATCTGTGAAAGATGCGTAGAAAAATTTGATCATCATTGCCCTTGGATTGATAATTGTGTTGGGATCGCAAATCATAGAGTTTTTTATTTGCATGTATTACTCTTGACACTCTTTGCTTTCTACAGCTTCTTTATATCAATTCTAGGTATAAAATTTGAATTTTAAATTACTATTAGGTATAATGAAGTTTGCAGGATATAAATTAGAATTTATACCAAGAGAGGTTGATTATATAGGATGGACCGCTTCAGATGATTAATCAACTGGAAGAAGATATATAAATAAGATATTGTCGGTATTCTTGTTTCTGATGAGCTTTACCTTTTCTATTTCTTTAATGTAAGACTCATTCGAGAATTATAATTTTAGGACTTTATTATATGTTCAAACTGTAAATCTCATAACAGGTAGAACAACTTCTGAAAGATACTCTTAATAAAATAGAAAAACCCCAATACCAACACCGACATCAAATAAAAGCATTTAGAATAATAACAATTCTAATTAACTATAAGAAAATTTGCTTGAGGATATCCGAAAGTAATAGTGATTAATCAATTAGTTAAAGGAAGTTGTAAATATTATTATATTTTTGACCAATTGAAATTCAATTTGATCTCGATTCTTGGGGTTTTGGGGTTTTGGGG